AAAAATATTCTCTTGACCCCCCAACCCTTTGTATATAGTATATTTTTTATTTTTTTTTTTTTTTTTTAAACAGGATTTATCTGGGGAAGGCTACAGAGACACTATTGGTGATGAACACTTTCATCTAGAAGGTATTTAAAGAACAAAATTTCTTGGTTAATATTAAGGGATATTGGAGTAAGTCAGTGAACAAGTCAGCATGAGAATGCATGTATGAGAGTGTAGTGCTTGATATACTGATGTGTTGTTTGCCTGGCAAAACCGTTAAGATGGGAATAGGGTATTATTTCTGTATCTCCTACCTCTGTCCTCCTGGTATCAAAAAAAGTCACCCAGTTGTATCATAGGGACCAGGTGTTTTAATTCAAGGTCTCACAATTTTTTTTCCAGGTACTTCTCTTGCCATTGGTAACAGTAGTGAAATATCACTGTCCCCAGCACAGGTGGTAAATGCGATCACCGAAAATGTTAGCATTGGGTTTTGTGATATGTTGCACACCCTTCTGTGTTACACAACCAGACTTACAAACTCCTGTATTAATTTCTAATAAAGACCAGAGACACTTACTCAATACATTTCTCTTGAATATGAATGGAATTGTTATTGCCTCAGATAACTTCTTCTTTCCAAGGCTCACCTCATCTCTTCCAATGTGATCAAGCCTCTCCTTGCAGTGGAGGTGGAATCATTGTTATGGTGGAAAGGGGCTTTGGGGACCTTGAGTGTGGACACTGTATTCTGTGTGCCAGAGAACACATCTGAGGTACCTTGAACTTCAGTTGGGCAAGTGGGAGTTGATGAACGGAAGAGATATTAATTTGAAGACATTGTTGCTCAGTCTTTTAAAAAAAACAAGGAAATGAGACTTCAGAAACTCTCTGGGAAACTCTCTAGGACTAAACAAGTGGTTGCATGGGCTGTGTGCTAAATTTACATTATAGGCTACTGGAAACAATATGCCCAACTTATTTAGAGCAATGAACCGTGCCAAGCTTAACTTGAAAATTTCTGTCCTTTTATAATCCAGTCATTTGTTTCTGGTAGTAGAGACTTCTGTCTAAACAGAACTTGAAAGATTGTCTGTGTTAAGAATATCAGTCTTCCGGTTCCTTACCTGTGAAATGTGTTAATATACTGTGTTTCTTGGATCCCATGTTTCTATCATTTCTGTAGTTTGCAAAGAATGCTCCCTCTTATGTGCCTGTAACATAGGAGCTCAATTTCAGCTGGTGCTTGTAGGCTACTGTTAAACACAAAAGCAAGGTATACTTGCCATGATGCAGTCAGTGTTTGTTAAAAGTGTTTCAGTATTTAACTTCACTGCAATTTTCCTTTCTGCTCATAGTAGGACATAACTCTAATAAAAGGTGGCTTTTTAATTTTCAGAATTACAGGAGAATCTACTTAACACAGGATATTAAATGTCAGCGAGGTGAATAATTTCATTTTTCTGTGTCTCATTCTACCTTTCCTTGCCTCTAATTATTTCTTACTTTGTTGTGTAGAATTGTCTTGCATAGCAAACATAATATCCAATATATAATATTTCCAAACTAGTCAGCAGCAGGATTGTTTTTATTAGAGTGTAAAACCTTTTAGGCTACTGTAATTTCAGTCTTTCAGCAGTTTTACATTATTACTTCTGATGCGTCTCATTTCTTATGAAGTAGCTGAGTAGTGAAGACAAGATTTAGATACCAGCAGGTGGTCCTTTCTTTGTGTGCTGCCACTGGGAAAGAGCTGTTCTGTGGCATCTTTCCAGTTGGGAGGCAGGTAACCGTTCCCACCCAGTGCTCAGGCAAATGTGTGTGGCTTGCCAAGACTTGGTTCTCATCCCTTCAGCTCTCAGATCTCCAGGCTATGCTTTCCACGCTGGGGACAGTGTTAGCCACTTCCCTCTTGAATGGGATATTGAAAATCTTCTTATAATTAACAGAAGATACTAGAAGCATTGTGTTAAAGCAGGATGCTTTCACTGTTTTTGTATAACTTTGTACTTTTTACTGGCATGATGTTTTTGGATGATTGTGAATAGTACTAGCATAAAACTATTATATTAGCATAAAGTAAAGCTGAAACATGATTTGAGACTTTTGTTAGGGCACACCTTGAATTCTGTGTGGCTTAGGTACAAGATGACCACTGTCGTAGCTCTTTTCTGCATAGAAATGTTTTGTGTGAAGATGTAATTAATCTTCTAGAAAGTATATTAATCTTTCCATCTAAAATAGTTTTTCTGCTTTTATTTTGCTACTTCACGATCTTTACATATGTACTCGTGTAACACATATATGTTGCATGGTTATACATTCATGTGTCATTAAGATAACATCAACATCACAGATAACTAGTTTCAGAGACAGGGAGATGTAACGCACTGAAACATGGTTGGTTGGGCTAAGCTCACAAAGGGCATGAATAGCAAAACAAAGACTTGAACGCAGCTCGACCAAGTACCAGGCAAGTGTCTAATCAATGAACTATATTCTGTCTTCATAAATATGTGGTAGGGATGGAAAAAAATGAAAAAGAAACATTTCTCAGATTTGCAAAAAAGGTGCCACTGTTCTTGTGGGTTAGGGGAAAGTTTTATAGCCTTCACACTCAGAGATTTTATTGGAGAATAAATCTGAGTTCTTTAGAAGACTCTCACTGAAAAGACAAAGTGGCAATAAGAGAAATAATTGAATTCCTTATTTTGTTTTACATAGCCAAGTTCATTACCTTTTTTTTTTTTTTCTTCTCCGTCTCATTTTTTCCCCCCTCTTAGCTGTCTGAGCAGTACAGATAAAAAGAACTCTCTTTGCTGGATTTAACTTCTGTGTTGTTATGTAAAGCTTGATCAAATCCTTTCGTCTTAACAGACTTAACTGGCCAACAGCAAAAGGCTCGGGATTCTGGGATTAAGATTGTATTTGGTAAGAGGACTGGTGCATTAGTGCTTTCTTTTGAACTGTAGAAAGAACAAAGTAAACATCAAAAGCATTAAGCCATGAGAGAGGATTGTTGACTCAGTGTTGCTGCATGACAAGAGGTTAGAACTCAATAGTGGCAACTCTGTTTACTGAGTGCTCTGCAGAAAGAAACAGTTTGACCAGTATTGTCTATTATATCCAGCACCTGCCTTTGATTTTGCTGCTGGGCAAGTCACTAAATTGAAATTTTTGGATTTTCTCTTACATGGTCAGTGATTTCCTTAGATAAGAGACACCAATGGAAACCTCAGTCTCTTATATTACTCTTACTCTGTTTCCCTTCTTCCTCTTTCATTAATAACTGAACAATTGGGCATGCTGGATATGGTTTCTATAGCGGATTCATTTGCAACTTCCATTCCAAGTTTAGCAGTGCTTTCCCACTGCATTTCAGAGACTTCCGCTTGCCAAACTTAGAGTACTTGTGCAATCTGCTGTGGCTGTGTACGAACTTCTCGTGCTTGGAACTTTCTTGTCCAGCGGTTTCTGCACAGGAAGCATGTGCTTTATCACTCTGTTCATGTCTAGGATAAAAGAGCTTGCATTTTCTCTTCCTTGTCCCTAGATAGAATACTAGGTCACCAGAACTGAATGAATGGAGGTGGCTCTGGAAGAAGTCACAAAAACTAGCACAGACTTTGGGAGGTATTTTTCATTTCCTTTCAGTGGGGAAGCTAAAATGGCAGGCAGGAATTGAATGTAGCGTCAAACAGCGAGTCACTCTTCCATCATGGAGACGTGCAGCTGGCTCAGAAAGATATCTGCTGTTAGTGCGTTCGATAATGGCATCCAAGTTCTCTCTCTGCTCTTCAAGGAGTAAGTAAACTTTTTAATGACTCATTGAAGAGAATCGCTCTTGTTTTCCAGAACTTTTTTCACCTCCTTTCCCCAGACCTTTTGGGAAATTTTCACAGCTGAAGCCTGCAGACCAAGAGAGCTTTCTTATCTTGACTGCTCCATGTCTTTATGAAGTGAACTGGGGTTCCTCCATCTTATCACTTGAACATTTAGAAGCTTTTCTGAGCACCCTGTTTTCTCCCTGCTTGTGACATCTGAACCAGAAGGAGGAAAATCTCCCTCTGACACAGACTGATTGTGGAAAAGAGGCAATTTCCTACTCGTCTCGATGCAAGCTCTTCAGAGCCCAGTAGGATATAGCTATCAGTCTACTTCAGCTGCCTTTTGGAGTTCAAGGTGAAGTCCTTAAGCTCAGAAGACACCTAACCTATCACCAATTAGTTATGTGATAATGTGATTTCTCATGTCACTGTTCTCCTGAAACGTATGACTTAAGTGTTTCTACTAACCAGAAACCTTGCATCTCTGTGAGATCAATCCAGTCCTGTAACTGTCAGAGTTGCTGCCTCTTATGCTGATAGCAATCTGTTCCCTGTTTCATTTGTCAGCTGAGGGTGATGTCTTGATTATTATTCTCTCAACAGAAGACTGGAGAAGATCCAAGCCTTCCTGGTGCCTTATTCTGAAAGTGGTGACAGAGCTTGACCTGAATCAACAAACGCATTTTTTTATGTTTCCCAAACCAGATGTATCCAAAACCCTAGATGTAAGATGTTCCCTTGTCTGGTACCAGAAAGGACAAAATTATTCAGGTCATCTTTTTGCCCATAAATATTAGAGAGCTCTCCAGCAGAGTTCAAAGCACATGTTGTTGCTGGAAAAAAAAAAATCCATCATATCTGTAAAAGAGTTACTTGTAGCACTTTTCACACATTTACAATACATTATGGAATTTCTAAACATTCAAGTAAGGCATGCTGTATTCAGCGAAGCAGAAAAATAATTCATTATATTCCTAATATTATTATATGTTTTTCAAGGTGTTACTAGTATGTCCAGTCAGTCCTTCATCTCTTCTTCCTCCATCCAGCGTCCGGGGAATCTGCGGTCAAGCGGGAGTTGAGGTGTGGTTAACAGAGTTCCACCATCAAGAGTTGTGTTGTTATTTTTGGCTTTAATAAGAACTGATAAGCAAACAAGGAACCAATAGTAAAGAATGAAATAGTGGTTTAAGGCTGCTGATCTTACGCTCAATGCTGCCAGCCATCCCAGACCCCCACACAGCTGCACGTGTTTCCCCCCACCGTACGCATCCCAGACAGCCCAGCGAAGAAGGCATGCTGGCTTCCACGTGAGT